GGTCTGTGGGAGGTAATTGGCAGCAGGCGGTCTCTCCAATTATATGATATATTCCTTCCTTCATTTATTCTGTGGCTCCCAGTTAAATTAACTTGGATAGTTTTATTTTGGGGGAATTAAATCCTGAAAGGAAGAAACGTCTGTTACAGGATCGGCCTTCAACAGGGCCCCAGGAAGCCTGCAAAGCACTGGAGGGAATTATTTTTCCCCCCAAGTTACCTGTGAAATCGCTTCCGTTCTCTGGATGTAATCTGTGCTTGATGGAACTTACCTGTCCCACTGAAACTTCTACGGGTTTTCGGAAAACTGTCCAGAGGACGCTTGGATAGCATGGCGGTGTGGTCAAAGAGCCTTCATAGCGGTAGTAGTCATCCAATCTCTCTGGGAGCAAATCTCGGACGTTGAAACCTGGGACGATGGCTTCCTGGCCTGAAAGGAAACAGCCGCTTCATCAGCTGGGCTCAAAGCAGTGAATTGCAGCTGTCTTATTTTGATTCTGGATGGAACATTCCCTGAATATTTATCTTGCCCTTTTCTTTAAACTTTCAGATAATTCAACTCAGCCAACTGAGCTAGGGCTCTCCGCAGCCGGCCCTGGCAGGGGGTGGGGTTACATCCAGCCAAAAATCCAGATGTTTTTCTGTAAAGATCGAGGTCGGCCCAGCCGGTCCGTGCGGCCCCTGCTGAAAATCCGTATGTGGCTGAGGTGATGCTCTTGTCATCTGGACAAAGGCCACAGTTCAGAGTTTGTTTACTATCATTTAGGCAGAGAAAATCTGGACGGTGAGTCAGACAAGCAGAGAGAGAGAGAGAGAGAGACCTCAGAGGATCAAAGACTGGCAGAAAATTACCCAGCCTTGCTTGTAAACAGTTTAGTCTGTTCTGCCTCGTTCTTGTATTTTGTAAGTCAGATTGGTCTATGTGTACATATACATCTACACGGACACACCTACTGCAACTGTTCTATGTTGCAGATGAACCTGACGCCCGAAGCAAGAGATTGATATCTTCTCTTGGCTGCTCTGGGCCTCCTTCTCAGTCACAAATTCTTTCCTACCTTTGTATTTCACGTGTTGGAAATGGCTGAAGATCTTTTCAAAGGACGGGTTGAAATCTCCCTCCTGCAATGAAAGGGACAGGGGTCATTTCCCATTGGAATAACGTTGCAGTCTCTGCCAAGCACAGGTGGGGCCAACGGTGGGCCTCAGAGCATCTAAACTGCAGGGCTCGATCCTGCAAGAAAAGCCCCCTGCGCATTCACGTAACGGAGAGGGGTGCAAATTCAGGGGCTCGGCAACTGATTGCAAACTGACCCCGGAGAGGCATTTGGGTTTCCGTCTGGGAAGCTGAATCCTTTTGGCCCAGCGCTTTGATTTATGCCTTCATTTGTTCAGCAAATGAACGGCCGGTTTTGTGGGCAGCAGTGATTTCATTTCAGGACAAATAAACCCTCCTGACTTTACATCCGCTTTCAGAGAGTCCTCCGCTGCTCTTGCTAGAAGAATAATAATCATATCTTGCACTGCGTGATTTCTTTGCCTGCACTCAAAAATTCTTAAGAGTGGCTCATTTGCAAAATAATCACTCTGGGAAAATAACCTCAACGTTCTCAGCAACTGAAAGGGGCTGCAGGAGAGGAGGAGGGGTTTGACATCACTACCCCAAAGCAAAGTCCTCCTGAAGTTCAGCTAGGGGCTTCACGGACACTTCTGTGAAACCACACAGAGAAGGACAAAGCTCCTCCAGCAGGAACAGGAAGGATGGGCCGGTTTCACCCATGGAAAGGATGGGCACTTTGGACTCTCAAGAGGTCCCGGCAGGACCAAAACCACCAGGGGAGAAGTGAGCCTTACCTCCATCAAGATTGCCAAGACTGCCAGCCCGTTGGGCTTGTCAACTGCCGATTTCAGATCTACGTACTGCTCGGAGTTGTAGTGGACAATATGCAGCTGCAAAAGGAGAAGGAAACGGTCACTGCCATTTCTAGGGCTTCACAGCTGGGAGATCCAGGCCTCCCAATTCCCTTGGCTGAGCCCTGAAGTCTTTTGTCTTTGTTGATGACCTTAAATTGGGACTTGGGGGCATCCCAGGCCTTCCCGAGACTTATAATTAGTCCGAGACATGAAACAATGTTGTGGTTATGAATTGGAGGAATTGAGGATAATGACAATTTGTGGCTGGATCCGCCCATTGTGTCGGGGTCCTATGGCGGCTGTTTCTCCGGGACACCCATGAAAACCAGAGACCCAAAACGGATGAGCTGAAGAAGGTGACTTCCCAGGGTAGAGAACAGGAGTCTCTGTCTCCCTGCTGTTCGTCTGCTCATTTTATCCCACGCAGCAATTTGTAAGTGAACAGAGGAAGGGGGGAAAAGGCTGCTCTTGGATTTGCTTATATCATGATTAGCTGTTTGCAAACGGGAAGTTTGTTGGAGGAAGGAACAAATCAGGGAAAAGAGTGAAGGTCGATGCAGGTTCTTGAAGGGCGAAGGTTGGGGAAAGCCCCCAGAATGTTGTGTTGGTCAAAGGGTGCTCAGGATGGCATGGAGAGAAGGAGAGAAAGGAAAGGATAAAGGAGCACCCATGGGGCAGTGTTTCTCAGCCTGGCCAACCTGAAGATGGGTGGACGTGAACTCCCAGAATTCCCCAGCCAGCAGAGTTCTGAGAGTTGAAGTCCACCCATCCGCAGGTTGCCCAGGCTGAGGAACTCTGCTGCCAGGGCAGCCTCTCCTGTTCATTGACTTTGGACATCTGGGGAAGGAAGCTGGGGGCCACGGCAACCAAACCCTAAGACATCTGGAGGGTGCCAGAAAGAAG